GGGTGGGGGGGGTGATTGGCCCTGTCCTGAGCAGCCGCCGTCCCGTTTCCTGCTGTCCCGTCTGCTCCCCTGACGTCTGTGGCTTCCCGGCTATAACAGCCCCCCGTGGGGGGGGGGGGTTCCAGGGCTCTCTGGACACACACTACGGCCTGGAAAGGCAAAGGAATGGGGCAGCTGAGGGGGGACCCTGTTAAAACCTTCCACCCTTGTGCCCTGCAGCTGAGCCCCTGGTGTGGGTGACCCGGGCCCTTGCTGGGCTGGCTTGCTGAGCGGGGAAGGAAATCGGGCATCTGTGGGGATCTGCTAGCACTGGCAGTAAGGGGGGCTGCCGCAGCACCCCAGCCCTGTGCTGGAGCGCATGGCAGCAGGCAGGGTGAGGTGTATGCTGCCTGTCGACGTGCCGACCAACCGTCTGTGGCATGCCCACCCGGCACACCCCTCTGCGGGCTTTGGCTCACACCCCCGCTGGCAGGGTGCCCAGCACGACTCCCCAGGAAGCTGAGCTGGGACCGGAGTCCTGACGCCCTGCACCACTGCCTCCGGGCTGAGTCTCCATGGCCGTACAAGCCACAGCCGGCCAGCCCTGGAAACGCAGACGCGTGTCTGTCGCGAGCGCTCGCACTGCAGAGCTCTCTCCGTTCAGAGGGCCCAAAGCCAGAAGGGCCCATTGTGCTCATCCCTCCTGACACCTGTAAAGCGCAGGCCAGACAGCCTCCCCCGGCGACTCTGGCGTGCCGCCCAGACAGTCAGTTCGCGCTCGAGCCGGTCTCTACCGCAGAGATCCGGTCGTGATGTAAAGTCTCCAAGTGTCGGAGACTCCACCTGCCCAGGGTTAATGATCTTTGCTGGTAGAAGTTGACGTCTTTTTTCCGATCTGAATGTTTCTAGTGTCCGCTTCCAGCCGTGGGCTCTTGTGTGTGTTTGCAGGGTTGGAGCATCCTGCTAGCCGAAATCTCTTCCCCATCTACGCACTCGTAGATGGCGATCAAGTCATCTCTCGGATTAACTACCTTGCTGGGCCTCCTTCAGTCTCTGGCTGTGGGAGGTGTTTTCCAGACCCCTCTCCTCCAGGTGCCTTGCTGCAGAGCCCTCTCCAATTTGTCCACATCTTTCTTTTCGTTTGAAGCGTGGACCCAGCATCCTGTAACAGTCTCCCCTGCGCTGTATACGGTGATGACCCCCATGCTTCCTGTTTCTGCTTGATATTCCCCTGCTTTGCAGCCAAGGATCTGTCCCCTCTTTCCTACAGCATCCTGGCACTGGGAGCTGGTGTTCAGCCGATTATCGGCCGTGACCCGCCCCCAAGTCCTGTTCAGAGTCCCTGCGTTCCGGAATAAAAGCCTCCATCCTGGGGCTTTGCTCCTCGCATGTCTGACCTGGGGTTGGGCTGTATTCCAATCCTTGTCAAAGGAGCCCGTGTTACCAAGCGATCCCAATCCCTGAGTGTCCTGTCGTCTGCATGTTTTACCGACAAGGGTGTCGGACTTTTTTCTGGCTCATCGATAAGACGTTGAATCATGCTAAGCCAGGTACAGGCCCCGTGGGCCCCCACTCGGAACATCCCCAGCTAGGTCTTTCGTGAGCTCTGTCGGGAAGCTGGGTCTAGGGGCTGTGTGGAGAGTAGCGTTCGCTGCTCTGTCGCGTGGCGCTGAGTCTGAGGACGGGATGTCTCACTGTTACCTTATCATCCGGTCCTGTGAGCTCATCGGCAACGACAGCTGGCTTGTTTCCCAAAGACCTATTCCCCCATGATACTATTGACTGGCATTAATTATGCCGCCACCCTTTAATTCTCTGCTGATTGCTCCCCGTACCAGCTTTGCCAGGAGTTTGCCCTGGATTGATGCCAGGCTAACCAGCTTGATAGTTACCTGGGTCACCCAGTTTGCCCTGGTACGTTGGCACAACATTAAGGGTTTTTTGGGGGGGTGATTCTCGGGCACTTCCGAGAGTTCCTGACCAATCAGCGTTCCTGGGTGCAGCTCAGGCCGGCCTCCTGCGGCAAGGGTGTGGGAGATGCATGAACACCTGCGTTCAAGGCTGCGTTCGTTTAGGCTCCAGCCCCCTCGCTGAGCGCGGGGCACAGTGGAGGCTGAGATGCTCCCAGGAGACGGATGCTCTGCGGCAGCCAGCTCCATGCTTGTGGCGACGCAGACCCCGAAGAGTGACGAAAAGCCCCAGCCTGGAGTGCGGCCTGGGGCTCTCTGCCATCACAGGTCCTCCAGGGGGCTTGGCTCCTTCTCGGCACTGTGCTGTGCTGGTGGGGCAGCCCCCTGGGAGGGGCGATGGAGACGGATGCTGCGGTACGGCCCAGGGAGCAGTGGCCAAGCCCTCGGAAGCACTGGGCTGGCGTATTCATACCAAAGCGAAGCAGGGAGGGGGCTCGGGTAGTGCGGCAGAGATCGGCGAGGCGGGCAGGGGCCATGCCCTGCAGTGCTCGGGCTGTGCGGAGGATGCTGGGAGTCCTCAGGCAGCTCCAGGAGTCTCTGGCTATCAGCTGACTGACCAGCTCCCTCCCCCAGGTGCCCGGCTGCACTGAGGGGTGGTGGGTCCCTGCTACTTTCCCCCTTCACCTGCCTTTGCCTCTGGCAGTGGGCAGTCCCGGGAGAGTCCACTGGGAACAATCCCACTGATCTGAGGGTTAGAAATCCTGAGCGAGGAGGGAAGGTTTCCGAACTGGGCCTGTAGCGAGCCTTGAGAAGAGGCTGGGCGGGAACCTGATAACCAAGGGCTTCTACCGCGAGGAGGGTGATCAGTTGTTCTCCCTGCCCGCTGAAGGGACAAGCTGTGACGGGCATCCTGTGCCGCAGGGAGATTTAGGCGAGATGGGAGGAAAACTTCCTGTCAGGGTGGTTAAGCTCTGGCCCAGGCAGGCAATGCAATGCCCGTCACCGGGGGTCTCTAAGGTGGGCAAACCCCGGCAGGCATGGTCTGGGGTTACTTGGCGCTGCCTCAGCGTAGTCTCCCAGGCCTCTCCCCCACCATGGGGAGTGTCCGACCAGCAGGGGCGTGTGCCCGGGCATGTCTCCAAGCCCTGTGTGCTGGCTAGGACCACATTTCTGTTTGGGGCGGTGGAGGGCGTCTGGGTTTAATCCCTGTCTGCGTCCCTCGCCCCTCTCCCAGCGCCGCTGTGCATACAGCACGTCCCAGCCAGTGCTGTGGGTTATGTTCTCCTTAGATCTCCTAAATTAAGTCTGATGGGGCCTGGCCGGCACTTGGCTGGGGAGGAGGGGAGAGTCCTGCTTGTGCATCTTCTCTACCTGGCTGATCCCTGGGCTGGCCCGTCTGAGAGGCCTGGAGCCATGCGCTGCAGCCTTGTGTGCCCCTGGCCGTTGTCCGGGCTGCCAGCTGTTCGATGAGGTCTCTGCTGCACAGGAGCTGGCTGAGAGCAGCTCCCAGAGTGGGGTCGCCAGGCTACTGCTGAGCCCTGGGTGTGTGGGGCTGCCAGCGCCTAGAGCAGAGGGAAGGTCTGGCATGGACAGCCCCTTCTCCACCAGCAACGCTCAGCCTTAGGCAGCACCATGAGGTCAAGGAG